CTCCCTTCCTCATCACTAAAATTAGGGATTATAACCCTTCCCTTCCTCACAGGCATGTTGTAAAATGAAATGCAGTAGGGCCTGCGAAGCACTTCCTATGGTGATGGATGCTACACAGGCATCTCAGACAGCTGCAGACTCCATGTCAAAGCCAAGCTCTTATTTCAAGCCCTCAAGCTTTAGAGGCATTGGACACAGGTGATATGCTTGGGGGCAGTCTCCACAGTAAACCCTGATGTGATAGACTGCAAGAGATTTCTAGAGAGCCTTCTGATGCTTTCTACATGGTGTCTTGGTTTGAACATCCAAAATTTGTACCCATTTTTGATATTCTGGCTATCAAGTAACTAGTGTTATCCATTGGTATTTCTATAACATTGGCTAAGTGAAAAAGTAACACCCCCAGCAAAGACTAATAGGCGTCCTATTGAGCATGTGTTGCAGCTGATGACCCAAATGGAGAAAATCCCTCCTTGCTGAATGGCACATGGACAACTGAGATCTCCAAAGTAAAAGGCAGAAAAAATAATGAAATGTAAGTCATATTGATTAGCACCTATGCGACTGAGAGCTGCAAGGGCTTCTTTGAATTACTGGTAGGTAAAAAACACCATGCGGTGCTGTTGAAAAGTATGAAACCCTGGATAGAAAGAGAATTCATTACCCAAGAGGCACTTCTCTTAAAATAAAAACCTCTTTCAAGACCAGAAAGAAATAGCAGGGATTACACAGACATCCCAGGTTTATTTTTAATGCGTCAGTCAGGGTTTATGATATGACAGCCAAGATGGCATTTGATTTGGAAAGTATCTGAATACAATGCAGTGAACCAGTGCATTACCAGAGTCAGACTACTGGGAGCCAGGGCATGACCTACAATGAGAAGTCCCTCCTTGCAGAAGTGTAGATGAGGACTGGGTGCTGATACTGTTTGTACATTCAGGAGATGCAGCACTAAAAGCAAAATCCATGGCAGAGGCAAATGAGGCTTTAAGCCACCCTTGCACGGCCTGCGTTCTGGGTCACTGCTGGGGCAGGTGCATCGCTCTGCATAAATTAGGGCAACTATTGACTCTTCTAACACACAGCCACTTCCAAAATGGTACCTACAAGCTGTGTCATAGCCCAGATCCTCCACAGCACCAAGCACTGCAGACATGCCCTTCTGCCCACCACCTCCCCGCAGCACTGTACAGAGGTTTCTGGGGTAGGCAGCATAAGGTGGTTACAGCTCTGTATGGTGCCTGCCCAGGAAGATTTCTCCCTGGCTGCTTGCAGCATCTTTACAGCTGAACCATGGAGGGGCTGAGTCGTGGACAAGAATCTCTTGTCTGCTCTCATTATGTACTGTTGTATTCTAGCAACACCTCGAGGCACCAGCTGCGATCAGGGCCCTGTTGTGCCAGCCCTGTACAGGCATATATTAAAAGAGCTCCTGCCCTGAACAGCTTCTCATCCAACCTGGTATGTGGGAGGACTGCTGCAGCACTCTTTTTTTGTAAAGCAGCAGCATCCTTCTGGAGGACAATGGATCCACTGGCTAGAACAGGGGGAGAACAATGGATGCTATAGAAAGAACTCAACATGGTGTTTAAACACATACGAACACTTAGATACTCTACTGCACCAGTGAGCACTTCAGAAATGCTGACACTCAGCCAGAGACAAGGGGCCAGACTCTGCTCCTGCATACCCTACCTTAGCGCTATTGATTTGAGCAGAGTCTCTCTGGGTTTGTATTGGTGAAACTGAGACCAGAATCCTGGGTGTCTTTTTCATCTCTTCATGTCTCCTACAAGTCTATGAAATATTAACAAACTGTTCATCTGACTGGTGATGTATCTGTGTGTCTGTGCGTGGGAACGAGGAACAGCCCAATAAAGCAAACTCTTTTCATGGAAGAGCAATGAAACCTATTTCTAGGACTGACTGACACGATCACAGCAGCTCTGCATAAAATAATACAAAGGCAGCCAGTCTGCAATGCCTTCTTGGCAGTTATTGTTAAAGGTTCAAGTGTAGTTATTTCTTTTCCCATTAGAATAAACTATGTTCGCCCAGTCCCTTGGCCTCTGAGGGAGTCAGGATACACATTCTCTTGTGGTTACAGATATTTAACTATTTGGCAGGCTCAAAAAATCTCCAAGCCAAATTGTTTGGGTTTGTTTTTCCCTCATGCTTTCTAATCTGCACATGCATTTCCCTTCAATGACAAACTATTGTGTTTACATGATAATTAAAAACAAAACCCTGATATTATCTTGAACAGTTCCCTGTTCAAATGTTGATGGTTGGCTGCATGAAAATTTGAGTCATTAATATTTACGTGCAATTTGAAAATTGATCCAGGTATGAATATTAATGATGGTGTATAATGCAGGAGCAGCTCCAACCAAATTTACAGCTACGTCGGGCTAGACGTCGGACACGCACACAGTTATGCAGTCCCTGCCTCAAAAGTTTGCAATCTAAGTAGGCAAGACAGACTACAGTGTGTGGTAGAAAGGTTATGGGCACGACCATGTCAGTTAAGGGTGCAGGCTTTTTATGACGATCATTGTGCTTCTGCCAATTCCACATTAGAAAGTTGCCTGATGCTATTATTCCTGTGTCCTAGTCAGCAGATCCCTCTCACCAGCCAGCTGGCCTTCCCCACAACGCAGCTGCTGGCTGGTTCTCCTCTCCATCAAGAGTAAAGAGGACAATCCCGTGATACGTGCAGCCAAATCCTATTTCACCTTTATGTGTCTAAGTGGCCCCTACCTAGCCACATACCTGCAATTTTGGGAGCTCAGCCAGTTTTGATTCCACATAACACCAAGTATGTCCTGAACCTTTAGTTGCAGGAAAGCCAAGCCTTTGCCAGAAAAGTGCTATAAGCCCCCGACTGTAGACCAGGCACTACTTAGAGCACTCCCCAGCCCTCCTCTTGAAGCTGGCTCACTCAGGGAGACGGGTGCTTACTCAGCATGGATGCTGCCTGGAAGGGATGGGGCCCTGGCTTCTGGCCCTGGTCCTTTGCCCTTATGCTGTTTATCTAATGAATATTACACATGAGGTATAGAAGACCTATCGGGGAGCAGAAGCCTGGCCCTGAGCCCTAATCCCTCACTACCTTCCTTTGTATAGAGTTCTGCCTCCACTTTACCCTGGTGTAAAGCCAAAGGATTTGGACCCTGGTGTTGGCTCAGCTGACAGGACGGCCCTCCTGGACTGAACTGCCTCCCCCTCCTTTTCCCTGGAACACACGCACCATCCTGCTTAGATTGCTAATTTGGCTGGGACCAGCACATGATTCATTAGCAGAAGGGAATGGATTGGGCCTAGCCTCTGCATGCCAAGTCATTTGACAGATGCAAGGAAACAAACCCTCAGAGGCTTTTATTCACCTCCTGAGTTTACTGCTCTCCATTATCCTCATGTAACGGGCCTGATCCTGCTCCCAGTGAGTTCAGCACGATCGGATCAAGCCTCAGTTCTACAGATAGCTGTAAGATCATTATCGTCACGTCTGCTGCACGCAGTCCTGGGTGGCATAACTCAGCTTGGTACATGAGTACACAGCCTGCAGCCTTGTATGATTGCAAAATATCTTCCCTATAATCAATCAAGGGATTTCCCTAACATAAACACATGTTCATTAGATTTGTACTGCTTTATGCTATGGCAGATAAGACAAGAACACAGGCTGCATACACCTATCTTCTGTTTAGGGCAAAGACTAGGAGTTCAGAGGCAATTTGGCTAACAGCTACTTTGGGAAGAGAATTAATCTACGTGATCAGGAAAGAACTCTGCGTTCCAGAGACCAGTTGAGAACTCTACCAGCAAAGCCCAGGCATGTGCAACATGTTGCTTATCATACATTATACATCCCCTTCTCATGGCAGGTCCCCCGAGGGTATGAATCTAACTCAGCTCCCTTTTAAAGGAGCTACACCTTAAGACAGAGATTGGCAGCCCCTGCCATGGGTGCTAGAGCATGGCATGCAAAAGCACATGCACCTCGGGGTGACATCAGGGAAGGGCCAGAGCTGCGCTGCCACAACAAGGATCAGGCCCCTTGCAGTTACCCTGCTGTCCAACCCTGGCACACCAACATCTGACAAGTCAAGGTTGCAGGTGTTTTTGGCACTCTGCCCAAAAACATAGCTGACCCCTGCCCTAAGATCAAGTGGTAGAAAATGTATTTTTGGCCTCAGAGGTTCCAGGTTCACTCCCAAGACTGCCCAAATCTTACCCAGATATTCATTTACAAGCATCATCCAAAACAAAAGGTCATTGGCTGATAACATCCTAAGGACACTGGTGCTGTACTGTTTAATAGGCATCACACATGCTACATTAGGTAACAGGTTTAAAGATGATTTTAAAAGCTAAACAGTGCCAGGAGAGCGCCTTTGAGCACCTAGTGCCGGAGACAAGAATGTTCCACAGGAACATAGAAGGAGCTGAGAGAAAGAGACGGGCGCAGGGAAAGTAAATCATGAAATATTTCAGAAGGCAGTTTACATTCAGGTCTATTTTCAGTTCATTGGTCTGCTCTTTGTCCTGGTTTCAAGCACCTAAAAATGGTTCAAATGACCACACAAACAACTCTGTGTTTATATAGCCAAGTCACTACATGAAGCAAAAACAGACCGTTCCCTTGCTACAGCTGATGGGGCAGTACCTGTAATTAGGATGTTGGTTACGCCGCCGAGCGGGTAGTTGTCATTCAGAACGTACAATCTCCATGGCTACTTAATAACATATTAATACTTTCCATCTAACAAGCAATATCTGTTTTCACATCCGTGGCTCACTGAATTCTCTGAAACAGAAACACTTACCATTCGGGGCTGGGCTCAGTCTGTGAGACATCTGTGAGAGCCACTATAAATTACAAACCATCAATCAACAAGCTTTTTAAGGAGTAAATGTGACAATGAGTCAATGCAGAGAGCCGAGGTTGCAAAAATGATATTTTTGTTTAAATGGCCCTTTGATTTCTCTTCTAGAGCTGACCCATGATCTTGAAATGAAGGAGCTGGAAGCCCGTCAGCAAGGTAAGATCCAAAGCTTTTGCATGAGATAACCATTGAGATTTGGGATTTGACAGCTCCGCCAAGAGTGACAAAGCTGGCTACTGCTTCCCAGCTGCGCGTGGCCACTGAGACACAGCGCACCTGGAAATGCATTGCCGTCTTGGAGAGGGGACTGATGGAGCTGGCCTATATGTATGTATCCAAGAAATTTAAGGTGACCCAACTAGCATTGTGAAGACAATGCGCATAACACAAAGCACATGAAATGATTGTCCGAGTACTTGCTAGGGGGTGTAAAGTGGCCTTAAATCCCTGTACACCCATTTCAAAGTGTGCTATACCTGAATGAGTGTGTCCTTCTGGGTATTTTACATGGTTGAAATGGCTGGCCGTGCTTTTACTTAAACGCATTGCCTACATATCTTTTGTTGATTCACCTTCATTTTCCCTGGTGTCCCCATTAGGTAAACTCAGCGTGTCTGAACATCTACGGAAACACTTAGGCAAAAGCATTACAAATATCCTTACATTGCCTCACTAGTCTGAATCCACCTGTAGCTTTGACTTAACCCTAACCTGCAGGGACCAGCTGTAGGGGATTGGAGTACAATGTGCCAGATCTGCAAAAAATATTAAGTGACCGATCCTACAGAGCAAATAAGGAAGTTGTTAGTGCTGCCAGCTAAGGGTGCCATCATTTAACTCAGTGAAGTTGTACCTTTGCATTACAGATCCACAATTCTAGACTTGTACCCCATGAATTGTGCATGAGATTTATCTAGTATTTAGGCTGATCTGGCTTCATCTCTGAGATGGCTCATTTTGCTCTAGAGAACAGTGCTTCTGTGACAGAGTCACTTGACTATATGGAAGTGGCCTAAGATTATTATTATGTCTATGCTGGCCACCTATGTTGTGATGGCATTAATTTTCACACGAGGAGATCTGATCAAAAAATAAGACAACAATTTCGCTAAACATTTTAGAACGTCATTTTACTTTCCCCCCCCCCCCCCCAACAGACCCATTTCCAGTTTTTTGCAACCCTTTTACTGTTGTTTTTCATGGTTAATTTCACGCAATCATTACTTTGCCCCATTATCAGAAAGCTCTGGTTGCAGAAAACCACCTAACTGCAACTGATTTCAGTCAAATGTTGATAAAAATTAGAGACTTTCTCAGTACAAAACACCCAGAAAATGTCAACATCGCCAAAAGTTGCTCACATGACCTTTCAGTTTTCAAAACTAGCCTTTTTTCAATAAGAAAGGCACTTCTTTGTGTGTTTGAGTCACTGTCAGCCTGAGCTGGAGCTGAAATGCAGAGCTTTGCATGAAAGGCTTCGCAACCTAGTACCATTCCCCTTGAGCCAGTTAGTTCCCCAGAGGGCAGCACTTCCATGGGTTTGATGTTCACGCAATTACTCTTCAAAACTGCAGCACATGCAACAAATCTAGGGGGCTGAGCAGAATCCTCTGTGCAGGTGGCACTCGAAATGGCTTCGGCCCTTTTGCCTACGGGCTCACAGATCTGTGCGCCAAAGAGAAGGCTCCCTTGGGCTTTGTCATAAAGACTTGCAAAGATAGAGAAGCGGATTTAAAAAAAAAAACCAGGGGAGAGGAGAGAAATAATTTACCTCTCTCTGACTGAAGAGAGTTAACAAGTCTTCTGCGAGCAACAGCGTCTGTGGATCTTAGTGGGGATTATACACAGAAAATAATTACATCACATTTTTACTAGACAAGCCCATGTCAGTCCTAATAAACCCTCTGAAAATAGGAAGCCTCATCCATTGGTGAAAACAGGGAGCTAGGCATTAGGTTTCCTGGTTCTGTTTTCAATTTGAGGTATTCTACTGATTTACGAGGCTCCCTGGGGTAAGTGAGGCAGGGGCAGATTTTCAAAAGCACTCACATCCAGATCTTCAAGTACTCAACACCCAGAAGTGGGTGCCCAGCTGCCATGTAGGCACCTAAACAGAGTGATGTTCAAAAGACCGCTCTCACCCCACCACGTATGCCCAGATGTTCAAAAGACCGCTGCACACATCGTGTTCCCAGTGGGCTGAGCTCTGTGGAAAGTCTGGCCTTAAAGCCTGATCCAGCTCCCAGTGACACCCGTGTTTCAGGACTGGTCCTTTAATCTCACCATTTACCCTTGAGTAAAATCTCATAATGTAATGTAATAATATAATGCTATTTGCCCCTTTCTATCGATATTCACAAAGCTGTGATAAAAGCCTCTGCAGAAATGCAGAACAGGAGGGAATTGGACTTGAGATCTGTCTGACTTCCAAGGGAATAAATAACTCATTTAGAATTGGCTCACCTACTTGAGAAATTTACTTTTGGGGAGGGGTGGAGGGGAGGCATTTGCCAGTCAAAGGAGTCATTGAAAATCCAGGCACGTGTGTTGCATGAAGGAGCAGCCCCTCCACAGGCAGGTCCCGGGCTCTGATTTCATCTGATTTCTTATTATCAGCAAGTAGCTCTTCATTCCTCTCCTCCTTTTGACATTGTTCTTTTGTTAGAGCCTTTTTATCTTGGTGCAGATGGAATAAATACAGCTATTCATGCACACGTGCATGCACATGCACACACACACACACACCAATCTCTCCACCCCCTTATCACCCCTCCCGTCACCACTGGGATTATACAGCAGACTGCCTCACAGGCTAGTGCAATGGTATACAGTGAGGGACTGAAGAATAGGTGGGTGGTCAAGCAGGCACCTTGCCTCCTTTCCTTCAGTGCCATATTTCCTGGGTCATCCTCATTAACTAATCTCAGCACATGAGATGTGAATCCTCCTATTTTTTTGGCCCCTCTTCATTTCCAAGTGGATAGTCTTGTATTTTAGGGCTGTTACCATGTGTCAGCAAACCTCCCCAGCCCACACATCAGGTAGGAATTGCCCTTCTCTTGATGTGACCTAGAAGATTAGCAGGGCCACAATTCTCCACAGCCCCAGAGGGCCAAGCCTTTGCATTGAATCAGTTCTGTTGGAGGCAGCACAGACTTGGGGAAGGGAAGAAAGTGAGGGGCAGAGACAAAAACCAAGAGGCGCTGAACTCCAGCTCTTCTGAGGAAGAATGGTCCAGTGGTTAAGACCTTTGGTTGATGGCAGTTCCTCTCCCAGCTTTGCTACAGACTGCCTGGGCAACCTTAGACAGCTCAGTTAGCCTCTCTCTGCCTCAGTTCCCCTTTGCTAAAATGGGATCACAGCAATATCTTACCTTGCAAGGGTGTTGTGAGGATAAAGGTATCAAAGATGTGGCAATAAATGGTGAAGTCATCTAAGTGCTGTCAATCCAGGTGGTGAACCAAGAACTCAAGATCTTACAGATTGTTCCAGGCAGAAGAAATGGATGAAAGTCAAGTATACTCAGGTACTTCTATACTGAGTCAAGTCCAGGAGCACTGCCAAGAAGCAGGCCCCTCCTGCTTCACACACACCAGCCCCTCCCTGACTAAGGGCAGGTAGCTGGTTTACAACCAAAATGAGGTTTTAGTCCAATTCACTGCAAATACCACTGTCAGGTCCCCTTGCTGGCAGGCCCAGTGGAGAGGGTAAGGACAGAATGGGTCACAGAGACTGAACACTGTTCTCAGACCTAGTAGTGGTCCTTTCAGATCAAGGGTGAAACCACACAGTGGGTAGCTTGCTCTGCTGCTTCTTCTTGCAGCAGCTGCACCATATCTCCAGGGCCATTAAATGCAGAGGAAACAGCTGGGTGCCTCTTCAAAGAGGGTAAGGAGGAGTTGCGCACACAGGAACTACCCTTGCAAATGCAGACCTAGTAGCACTGCGCCACCTTGGTGCACCCCGGACATTTCTCATTTAAATCTTGAAGCTCTGAGTAATGCCAGCCTGTCTCCTGGGCACTTGCAGCAGAAGGTGGCTGCCGCATAACCCACTGGGCAGCACAATAGGAGGTACTAGGATTAAATATGATAGGTGGGTAGTTAGCACAATATGTAAGCAGGCAGGCAGGGCAGAATGATGGACAGACTGATAAAATAAAAAGAAGCCAAAGCAGATTGAAAGAAAGGTCCCACGGATATGCTGTGTTACAAAGATTGGCAGAGCATTGATTTCAGACCCTTGAACCCCAGTGTGAGGAAACCCTTCCTCCAAGTCTGTTTGCCTCTTCTTGACCTTTAACTCATGGGTCGGACGGCATCTCTTACAAGCTCTGCTCCAGGAGAGGCGTGCGGCACTGGTGGCCAGCAGGGGGCACTGGGAGAACAGCAGTTCTTGCTCCCGGGAGGGTGGAGTGGAGTAGAGAGATGCCTCCCCAGGGCTCTGGATCCACTCCCAACTGCTTACCACTCCCACCTCTCACCAGCCCTGCAGCACAGCAGGGCCCAGACCTTCCCGTCAGAGCTGCTCACTCTTTAAAGCCTAATCAATAGGAGACATGGATGTGTGCCAGAGAAATGCAATGCTCTGAGCCTGCGGGGCTATTTTTAGAGCCTCACGTTGTCCGGCTGATCACAGGACGTTGTGCCAGGCCAAGCAGCGAAGCAAAGCCTGCCTGCTTGACAGCCTCTGTTCACCAACCCAGGCAGGCATACGGCCTGCTGTTGGCTGTGTTAGGGTGTCAACAGCTGTGAGCTGAAACATCTGGGAGGAAGCAGAGTGGCCTAAATCCTTCCTAGGAGCAAATCAGGGCAGAGGGTGAGAGGGAAAGGAGATGAGTGGGGTATGGGTTGGAGGAAGTAGGGGTGGGAACTCCGATACTCCGATCTTTACCGCTTTCAGCAAATCAGCCATGATGAGGGAAAGTGGCACTGCCTTTTTGGCCTTGCATGGAGCTCCTCACCCTGCCTCCCAGATGCTGGTGAAGTGCCAGGGCAGAGCAGCATTTGGGGCATGGACTAGAAGAGGATCAATGGAAGACCGAAAGCTGATCTGAGCAACCAGCCAGGCTGCCTGTCCCGGTGTCCTTGAGAGCCAGCACTAGACCAAAAAGGTCTTTTCTCTGCCAAAGCAAAACGGTGGCTTCTTGCATTATA